TACTTACTTTGAAACAATTTTAGTGACTTCCTTGTGCAAAGAAGCAAGAAAAAGTTAGCCTATGTTCATACAATAAACCTATATAAGTAATGCTGAAAATAAAATATGTGGGTTGTTTGTCTGCAGCAGGTTCTTAAGCTTGAGATTCTTCTACCTCAGGTTTTGTCGCTATCAAATATGAAAATATATTTTAAAACGTGTATTAACTGTGGTTTTTCTCATTGCATATATACAAAATTGTTTGCTAAAAGAAAAAATAAGATTTCAATATACATAAGAATTTGGCATGTTATAAAATTATTCCTGTATTTAATCTTTGATTGCCAATTCGCTGGTTTTGTTGCCTGCATCAGTGTCATTTTAGCAGCTTTAGCATTTCCTGTCCTTTGTCTTTAGATATAGAGCTCTAGTGTTTGTATAGCACTTTTCATTTTAACTAAATCGATTTTTTTCAGTTTAACTAGTGATAGGTTTCAGGAAAAATGACAACTGAATTAAATACTTAAGATTTACTGTTGCTTGAGGAGTACATAGAATAGAGAACGTGTACGTTCATTTTTTTTAAAGGAGGAAAGAAGTCAAAGCACGCAAGAAAAGAGACACAGCTGTACCGAACTCTAAAGAGCCAAAAATTAAGAAGGCAAAATTATCTTGTTCAGCAAAAAAGAAGTCCAAAAAAAAGACCCATAAAGGTATATTTAAATTTTAGACCTTCAATTTTTAAAATATTCAAATCTGTTAGTTGAATCTTAGTTTTGCTATAGCTACATATGTATAGATATATAACTTTGTATAAATATAGATATGTAACTTTCTTGACTGTGTAACACAGGTAGTCTAAAAGATAAATTTCTCAGGTAAAATTTCCTAATTTTAGGAAAAGATAAAGTGGCTTGACAAAAGAGATAAATTTGGAGGGAAAAAAAAGATAAATTTCTTATATTTTACAGAAAGGGAGAGCCTTTTGAACAATACGCATTGCAAGGAAAATTCGTCCAAGAATTGGACATTGCATACGAGAAAGGGTTGTGAAGTACTTAATTCCTTGAGGCTTTGGGGTTGAAAGCCTTTTGGAATTGTTAGATAACCTTTTTACATCACAGATCTTGGGATAACGTATTTGAGTTCAAACTGATGATCTTTGAACTCACGCAAAAAAGATCTTTTTACTTCAGTGTTTGCTTGCTTTCTTTGAATGTATGGTGTGTGCGTGCATGTGCACATGTTTACATGTAATATATTGTGATAGAAATATCCTTGTAAACAATTTAAGATAACGGGTAAAACCAAGATAAGCTTACTATTTTTTAAATGGTGTTTCTTTCCAGATCAGGTTTCTTCAGAAGATTCAGATAATTCTGATAAAGGTAAAGTATTTTAATATCTTCTGCATTTTATGTTTTTATAATAAGCTGTATTATTTCATGGTCATTTGTCATTGGTCTTACTTTTATTAGCTGGCAGTTTTAATATTTTATAGGATGATAAGAATGCTGTGTGAAAACAAGCAGAGATATGAAGGGTCAAAATAATTACTTAAAAATTCTTGGAGAAAAACCATAAGGAATTTTAATATGAAAATCTTTAAGTAAGGAATAAGAATGTGGGCAGATAACAGAATGGAAATAATCAGAAAAATGAGAGGTCAGGTAGTTCCAGAAAAGAGTAGAGGCTGCGAAAATAAGTACATTGTTAAAAATTGCATGGGTCCAGGTATGCAACTTGTGCTGTGTAAAAAAAAAAAAAAAGAAGTACTTTTCCGATATAGTAACTACTACATTTCCTTTCAGGGAATGATACTAATATGTACTCTACTCAAAAAAGTAATAGATTTCAAGTAAATCTTAGGTTTTAACTAAAGTCTTTTCCAGCTACCACCTGCAGTACCTCAGAGACCTACTTGTTGCAGGTGGATGCACTCAAAGTCTCAGTGACTCTTCAGGCACTGGTTGTCTCTGTATCTCAGTAACTCCAGTCCCCAGTTTCTTTTTTGAGGAAACAAGCCCCATCTCCTGGTCATGCCAATTCTTGCTGCAGACTGTCTAGAAGGGATTGAGTGTTTCTACTGATTGCTCTGCTGTGGTATACGTTTTTAGGAATGTCCTCAGCACGTACGTTTTCCCAGCTAGATATGGGAAGTGGTTTACTTATGACTCAGACCATGCCCTAAGTCTCTGTTTTGTCAGGAAGGCTCTATTGGAAGATTGGGTTTTTTTAGGTCAGGGCATATTTCTAATAACGAGATTTTTTTTTTTTGGTTTTCACTCCTTCTGTATACTTACATGAAACAGTTATGCAGTAATCCATGTTTTCTGACAATTTCACTGATAAGTTACAATTGATAAAAGTTGTCATTCAAGTAGAAGTAAAGTAATTGATTCATTTAATATCATGAGTTGAAACTGTATTGTAATTCTGGGTTTGTGATGATATAAACCCTTAATTTTAGGAACAAAGTGCTATGCTGCTGTTGTGTCAAGACCAGTGTTTTGACATGATTATTGTTACGTTTTGCCAAAATATTAGCTCATGATACCTAAGAGTCTTTTTGATGCTGTATTGAATAATATTGGAAGATGTTTTTGTTTTTACTTTATGCAAAGTAAAGTGTTCTTTTTATTTGCCTGATTACAATTAAACGTTTCTCCTAGCATTATACCATCTAAATTTTAAAAAAAGATAAATTCTTTTAAAATTTATTTCATAAGCACTTTAAATTTTTTAATAGATTCAGATAACAGCGATGCACAAGATGGTCCTTCAGATGCTGACTTTTGGAAAGGTCCTCTACAAGAAGCAGATGAAAAATCACGGTTAGTTTGATCTAGTGAACTTGTAGCTAGTAAAACATACTTGTCCATTCAGAACTGAAAAAGCAGAGATTTTTTCCTGAGTGTTTTAATGAATATTCTGACATTTGAAATTATGTCAGATCTCCCTCCATGCGGTGAACCTAAGTATGTTTTTTTAAAGAGCAGACATACACAACACTGGAGGGAAAACCTTTGTCAAGCCACTACCATGCCACTGCTGTCTTGCCCCCTAGCATACCTTAACTAACTTAAAAGTAAATCCTAACAGACAACTCACTGCTGTCTTGCCCCCTAGCATACCTTAACTAACTTAAAAGTAAATCCTAACAGACAACTCACTGCTGTCTTGCCCCCTAGCATACCTTAACTAACTTAAAAGTAAATCCTAACAGTCAACTCACTGCTGTTGCACAGAAGGGGAAATGTGAAGGGTATTGGAATGTGTTGAATAAGTCAAAATGGTCTATAACAGCTACAAATTCTAATCAGAAGTCTGCTGAGTCTTTTTCATATGAAGATTATCTCCTAGGTACAGATCCAAAGCAGAACTGTGTTTGACTTTTTTTTTTTTTTCCCCCCCTCAGGGAGGAGGAGTTTGATGAGTATTTTCAAGACTTGTTTCTCTGAAACTTGAAATTAATGTGGCCTGATTTTCTTCATGAATTGTCAAGATGAAAGTCTGGAAATCCAGTTGTAATTAGGGACCAGAGACCTCTTTCTGCCAGCATACCTTTTCTACAGGCACTCATATGGACCATCTCAGTAGATTATCTTTGTACAAGACTTCAGGTTTAAAAACTTCCTTTTGATTGTGGTAGGCTGTATACTCATGAAATAAGAGAATTTTTTCAGTTCAGTGCAAAAGATATATGGCGTCCAAACTTAAAAGTAGGAAGGATGTAAGCAAACAAGAATATAGTTTATTGATATTACATTAAGGAAATTGGCTGCTTTTTATTTTATCCCAAACTTCAGTTATGTTAGATTTTTGTAAAGGGGCATTTTGGAAGATTCTGTTATTAGTTTAAAGCCATACACTTTAATATAGTCATATTTCTAATTTATTAAACAGGAGTTAATAGCCTTAAATTTATTGGTCATGTAGACTTTAATATTCAGGTATTAGTCTCTGTAAGTATTTTCAAATGCTATTGGAGGAGTTCAGTTTTTATCAAATACGTATTTTGCTTGAATTAAGTAAACCATATCTGAAATGTCTCCCCTACTCCTTAGAAAAGTTTAGTTCATTGTGACTTTGTTTTAAATTTTAGCTATAATATGATATGACTGATAATTCCACTTACAAAAATCTGGTTGGTTGGTGAAGTTTTTGATGTAAAAAATAAAGTGTGTGGCTTTCTACTGGAGATGTATATGTGACTTGTATGTTATCTGTGGTTTCTGATCTCCTTAACATTGACTGAGTGTTAATCCTTCTCTAAAGTGTAATCCTAAATATACAAGTAAAGAATGTATATTGCTTGAGAACTTACGGGATTCATCTTCTTCAAATTGCAACACAACTTTAAACATTCTTTATTTTATGTTTCCAAAGAAACAGTCTGCACATTAATAGTTACAGTGGCTATTTTCTTTGTCATATGAAAATTACTTTGAATATAAAGGACAAACTTTTTTTTAATTAAATGTTCATGTTAATCTGAGGAAAGTTAATGTATAAAATATATTTTTGATAATACTTCCCATTGTAGATATATTTATAGAAGGTATTTATAGTAAGTATTTGATGTGGAAAATGTAACAGCAGAGCTGGTTGCAGTGTATTTATGAACATTTTATATGCAGTCATATGAATAAGTTGAGAACTCTATTTACAAAGTACTACTTAACATAATTACATTTTAAACAGTTCGTACTTCCATAATAGATGACAGTACAAGGACATATTTAGGGTGTCTTTGAGTAAGAAATAAACATAGCCTTGCCTGAAGGCTTCTTTAGGTAAGAAGGTGGATTTAAAGGTTAATTCTCTGTCATCTTGCAAGCTTGGTTGAGAGTCAAATCCAATCTGCAGCAATCTGCTTACATGTATGTAACTTGCCCAAAGGGGCTTTTGTCAAATGTGTTGCTATATTTGTTGCTTCAAGTATTGTATATTATGTGTTCTGGATAACTAACTGCTCTTTGGGTCTTCAAAATACAGTTATAAAATGGTACAGTATACATATTAAATACATAATTTAATACAGTTTGAATAAAATTACATTATTAAACAACCTTGAAATAGCTTTCTTTAGTATCTGCATTTAATACAGAAAATAATACATGATACCCAGTTTTATGTCATAACTAAGTCTGCATGAAGTATTTGGCCCATTTATAAATAAGGATGTAGTAAGTGGGATTTTTTTTGTGGATCCCTTTAATTTTGGGTGATAGTTGTACTCGGTATCTATGTTCATAGAGCGTTCTTAGAAAGGTATATAATATGGTAAGTCATTCAATCATTCTCCTTTCTCTGTGGATGCTGAGGGCCCTTCAGAGAAAAAAAAAGTATGGGTCTGCTTTCTTTAAAGGGAGAAGAAAAGTGGCAGGATTGAGTCTGCATGTCAAACTTGTTTGTTGCAGGAATTGCATTTGACATCCATCTCCTCTTAGATTTGGAACTGGTTCCAGTGAATACTCAGATCCATGCATAATATACTAGCCATTTTCCTTCCTTCATCTGCAGGAGGAGCTGGCTTCGTGAGACTTGAGTAGAAGGTAGGGAGTGGACTCTGTCATTCTTCAAGAACAGAAGGTTTTGGAAGGGAGATCATTGTTTATGGAGAGTTAATTTGTGTGAAGTCTGTCGTCTTGGTTGTAGAAAGGGAGGTAACGTGAATTCCGATGTGCTGTAGTGCTGTTGTCCTCTCCCTCCCAAGATTAAATTGGTGCCAGTTCATTGGTTTTCAAATACTTTCAATTACTGCATTTTTAAAAAGGTGCATTGGGAGTACATGAGCCTTTTAAAATGCCTTTGAATGTAGATCCTGCTGTAGATAAACTGGTATAAGTATCTTAGTAAACTCTTACTTGTATGCGAAGTATGATGTTTACAGTCTACCTTTTTAGATTTTTACAATAAAAGGTGGTCAGTTTAGGAACTGTGGGCAGAGCCATTTGCACATGGGCAAAAGAGTGGTTTCTCTGAGCTATGGCTACAATTTACAGATTTATCCTTGGTAGTTTTGAAAAAACACTGTGTACCGTGGACCTGCTTTTAATAGATATGAGCCAGGGAATTGTGTTGAGCATTCATTCCTAAAGTGAAGAAGATGTTTACTCTAGAACTTTATATAGTATTGAGAAGGAAGGAAAAGGACAATTCCAGATTAAGGAAATACACATAATATAAAAATCTAAATATACAAGTTACGAAAATCGCAGTTTTCTGTTTGAATTGTACATATTAGATTTCATTCAGTAATTTCATATAAGATCTGTCAAAATTAATTATATTTTTTTCTGGATAGCGTGCAGAAGTTACATATTTTAATAAAAATACTGTATATAAATTGAGTGACATGAAAAAATATCTAGAGTACACAGTTAACTCATTTTGCACCATTATTTTTTCATTTAATTTTCCAAGTTTTAGTTGTAACTGTTTGTTTACTCCATTAAAAATTATTTCCAACAAATGGCAAGTGTTTAAGAGGATTGTTAAGAGATTGTTCTATACTGTTCTATGCGAAGCAGAAATCCACTGGGGCTCATTGAAGTACTTTCTAGATGTCTTTTCTGTAGCAGAAGCAGTGTCTGAGACAAAGAACTACAAAATTATACATGTTTTGGATTTTCCATCCTCTCCACTTCCACCACCACCTCCAGCTGCATTTTCAGCTAAAAAAGAGAGAAGAAAAGTAAAGTGAGTGTTTTCTGTTAACTTTAGCTGCTCTAATTTCTTGTTAAAAAGGTGTTGCTTTTGTGATATGCATTTTATGTGTGTTTGACCTTCTGAATATTGAATGTGCTTTCACTACTTGTCTGGGAAAATGGAATAAGAAACAATAACACATGCTATATATACATAAGTGTATATAGTGTAGCAGTTGATACCAACATTTTCTCAAAGGACCAAACACACACTGAACCACTCTTACTGGAAAGTTTCAGTAGTTAAATACATATAACTCTGTCCCACACATACAAAACTGAGGTATGCAAGCCATGCAAAAGAAATAAACTCTTGGATCAATATAATCTGTGAATCTATTTTTGAAGCAGATCATACAAAAACTTTAATTTTACCTAATTGTATAAGCCTTTATCCAACCCTGCATGAATCCCTTTGTAATTACCAATTAAGAGAGAGAGACACTTTTTGTGTTTGTTATCTATAGCTACTGATTCTGTTACTGTCTCTCTCAAATGATTCCACAGATGTTCATTGGTCATAGTTAAGATTCTTTCAATGTAATAAATTGCGTTTCCAGGTTCATTTAAGGTAAGAAACCAGTATTAGAATTAAAACTTACATTTGAAAGCTGTGGATCACCATGCTACTAGGTCATTTTCGACCCTTTCCACCTGCATTGAAACATGTCACATAATCAGTGTCCTACCCTCTGTAATTTGTGGATATAATCAACACTATGTTACTAACTATGTATTTTATTTTCTTAGTTTAATACTGTATTCTGGTTTAGTTTCTGTTCTGAACTTTCCACTGTAGTGGTTCAGCAAATATGTTTATTTTGTTTTCTGTCTACTGAATGGCTAAGAATAGCAGGTCAGTGTGATCTAGAGAAACCACCGTGGATCAACATGTATCAAATTATTGTTTGTATGAACGGACTTAAGAAACCCATATATTTACATGGCCTTGATTTGACAGTGTCAGATCTGTTCGTCACAAATGTGCATGGATAGCCTTATTCCAGTGTACATTTAAAAAGATGCAAAATAATTCACTTACATTTTGTGATACCAATTATGATGTGCAAAGGTCAGATCCCTAGCTCCTGCAAATCAGTCTGTCCGTGCTTGCTTGAGTAAGGTTCCTTGTGGGAAAATACTTCTTTCCTTAAGTTAGTGACTGAGTGATTCCAAAATACCAATGATGTAAGAGGGTCCTAACTATTTCTACTCCTAAAAGGGAGTAGAAATACCTGAATCTTCCTAAATGTGTAATTTAATTTTTATTTAAAAACCTTATGCTTAAGGGCATAGGATCAGACTTCAGTAACTATACTCTTTGCCAAGAACGCAAAGGCATAAGGAGATTTGTGTGTAGGTCCCAGGTTGTTTTGTTTTACTGGTATTTCTGTGAAGTTCAGATGCTTGCATTCCAGTGTAAGGAGAGAGTACTTTGTTCATACTCACAAACAGCTAGTTCTCAGCAATAAATTAATCTTAAATAAATAAGGTGATACGATTAATTGCAAAAAAGTGTCTTTAAAAATAAATTTGGGAGACAATGGGGTGGGTATAATTTCTGTGAAAGTGTGTGTAAGTGGTGTCACAGTGTGAGCAGGCCAAAATATTTCTTGTAATTTTATTACAATAATATTTGACTCATTTTGTTAAACTTCACTTTCAAAAATCTGCTTTGAGTAAATCATGTGGTTAAAAAGTACCACTTTGCAACAACATTTTTTTTTATTTTAGCCTAGTATCATGAATTTTAGGAGCCAATAACTCTCTAGTTCCACTTCACACTCTGACAGTAACTTTATGGGTGGCCTTGAGTAGCCTCTCTTCTGTGTGAAATGTGACGAATACTCACCTATTTCCCAATGACACTGATTAACAAATAAATTATTCAGTACTGTTTTATGTTTTAAAGATGTGAAACACACAGTAAACTAACTTTTCTTCTTCCAACTGGCTGACAAGAAATCATTCTGTAGTAATCACATGCATTTTTGTTTTAATCTCTGAACCTTTTCAGTCATCTCAGCTGATTGGCAGAGCTGTTGACCTGCTGTTCCACATGCAATACAGAATAAAAATAACTGACTCATTTCACTTGAGAGATAGGTTCTCAGTTTCTATAAAATCAGATTCTCTTCTAGGTTATCACACGCAGAACCATACTTTCAATTTTAGGACTTGGGCTGTCTTAGGAAGATTAGTGTTAAATTTGTAATACAAGAGAGTGTATTTCAGCCAAGAAACTGATGGCAGGGAACTAGAACCAAAAGCTTTATCTTAAACTTGGAAGAGAAGCGGGGCTTTGCACTGCTTTTTTATGTTCCAAATGCACACTATCCATTCCCATCTCTTTTCCTTATGCTTTTCATTTTCAACTTAAACAAAGCACCTGAATACATTTGGGGCTGATGCCACACAGAATTTTGATAGATCTCTAGTATTTCAAGTGATTGCAGCATTCACAGATAAATAAGTGTTCAATTACATTCAGTTTTAGGTCTTAAGACAAAAGAAATTTTACATTCCCTTCACTTTTGTGATGGTCATATTTTCTATAATTCTGCAGTTTAGAAAATGAGGTCAGTATACTGGATTTGTGTAATCTTTAAAGGTTTCTCCTCTTCCAAGTAAAGGTAAAGCTAATTTGGCTAATTCAGAACTCGCATACCATCAGTATAAAGTTTAATAGAATATTGCACAAGTGCACTGCATGTGTGAATTTGAGAGAGAGAGAATATGTTGACTGCCTTACAAATATGTCTAAATGAAAACCTTAGAAGTTACTTAACCTTTTTTGGCAGCTGCTTCTTCTTCCTTTTTCTTTTGTTCCTCAATAACTTTCATCTTCTCTTCATATTCATCAGCTCGTGTTTTCCATTCAACCCTGTTGTTTTGAAGACCATCAAACATAGGTGTAATTTCCTTGTGAAACCTCGAGAATTCCTGTACAAACAATTCAAATTAGTAAATTAGAAATTTGTAAACACTGATGATTTGTAAAGTCTGAATTTGTGGAAATACTGCTGCTTTGCAGAGAAAACATGAGCTTTCATTTTTCTATTAAATTTAATTCAGTATGTATGCTAGATTAATTAATTTTATTTGATTTCACATTTTTATCACGCACTTGTTCCATCTCTGGTAGTGGGTTTTCTGTAGAAGAGAAAAAACATTTAAAAGAAATAGTGTGAGTACCTGCTAATGCACATTTGAAAGCATGTTCTTGGCCATGCAGTGGTGGTATATTATTGGAAATACCGTGTTGGGATAATAATGCTCTATTATGCACATAGTCAGTTAGAAAATATCTGAATTATATACTGCACATTTTAGTATCTTCCCTAATCCCACATGTCTGATTCATATAATACAATTATAACTATGATACATGGTATTTTATCATATGATTATCAGTATCAAGATCTAATAAAAAAGTCTAGTATCCTATAATATATTCCAAGCATGGAACGTATCTGAAGATGTTAAAATATTACATGTCACTTTTCTGTATGACATTCTGGGATAATATTAAAAGCTAGACACGGAGTAATAAGGGATTAATAAGACAGGCATTTCAGTACCTTACGGAAGATATAGAATATCTGTATTTCCAGAATATTGCAAGTTTCCTATTCCCTTTGCTGTGCCATTAACTGCTTTCTGTAACCATCCACATGTTCCCTACTTATATTAAATGGGACTGTGAAGAATCAGACTGGGCTTTCTAACTCTGTCTTTCAAGGTAGTTACAAAACCTCAGCACCCTCAAGTTTTAGTGAGATCTTCACTTTTTATGAATTTGCTTCACATCTTTTGAATTTGCTTTGTGGGAGCAATTCTTCTATGTAACAAAATATTGAAAAATTGTGGCGTTCAAGATAGTTGTTTATCCCGTGACCAAGAGTCCTGCTGCTGTCTAGAATTTTTTAACTGCAACAGTTTGTCACTAATTGTGCCATCAGAACTGCTGTAGTGGGAAAACAAAATTATTCTTACCTTGTACACAAATGTACACACGAAATCTATGAAACCAACTTGGAGCTTAGGTAGTTCATCTCCTTTGTTTCTGTCCATCATTGGCTAGAACAGAATAGCGGTAATTTAGGTTATGTAGATATCATGCTTTTTGGTATAATGATCTAGTAAGCATCATGGACCTTTATCTATTCAATGTTTTAATAACAGCTAATATTGCTTAACACAGTTAAATTATTTAGTACTTACAATTGGTTGTTGCTGTAGCACAGTTCGTTCCAGGTCACCTTGCTCCCAGAATTCGTTTGCAACCATGAGGGCAACCTGAATAATCACAATTTAGTGGAAGTGTCAGCAGAAAGCAGTAAAATTAAATAAATAAATAAAAGAACAAGGCTTTCCAGAAAATGTGAAAATGTTGATTAACCAAGAATTGGCATACTACTGTTTACTACTTAAATATTATTACCAACTTCCCTTCCCCAAAGAGAGGACGTATTTCTTGCCAGATTCGTTATCTCTGAGTAGTTTAAAAAGTTCTCCAGAAATAGGGAGTTTTGGTCAAACACAATAGAATTCCCCTCTTTAATCCCTGTCAAGATAGTCAAGCACTTCTTTCAGAAATTACAGACACGCTCTGGTGTACTTAAGACTTTTTCCAGCAAATTATTTCTACCAATATTCTGGTGCGTGCTGAGTAAATAATAGATCATTGTCAACAGGAACAAGAAATATTAGCAACATAACCGAATCTTCTAGTACCTGTAATGTGTATTACTTAGAAGGCTCCACAAGCATCTTGCAGTTGTATTTTGATTATGCATTGTTAAAACCTATTCCTGTAAGGCTAAGTGATGAGCTTCAGTGTGATGGTCAATAAGTACTGAAGTCCTTGAAGTACTTATGTACAATGCAGTGTCACACTGCATTACAGAATTTATTTTTAGCGTGTTTGAAATGGCACCAAGATCTACAGAATAGACACAATTAATTCAAATTATACTGTTGTTAAATCTGTACCTTAAAAATACCTGAAAAATAGCAAAAGTTGGATAGCACAAAAATAACACAGTGATATTTAAGGGTAGCTAGAACAGCTGACAGTATCAGGGATGCCAGTTTTAGATGAAGGACAAGTAGAGAAGGATGGAACAATTATAGAGTGGCTGGGGAGAGGCATCATGGAACCCTTACAGTGACAGAAAAATAGAGGTGGTTTTCTGGAAATTCAGTTGGGTGCAGATACTTAAATATCTATAAAATGATAATAAGTAATTTTTGTTCAAATGATTATGCACCAAATAGGAGTAAAACAGATAGCAAATGCAGCATTGTCTGTTCGAAAAGTACCTACCTTACTTTGCACTTCCCAAGGCTTGGTTATAGCAGACAGGTCACATCCAGTCATCATCATAGCCCTTCGAAAACACAAAACAAAACAGGACTATAGTTAGGATGATGATAGAAGAAAAAAAAGTCTAGATTTTTTAAGGAATTTAGATACCTGATGCAGATGGATGCATGTTTTGTACATTTTGAGAAGATTGTAGACATCTATTTCTAATTTAAAATCATGGTTATGTTCATCATCGGACAATAACACCAATCTTAATTTACATGTTTAGGTGCCAAAATTCTTTTAAAATCTGGTCCTAGATAACTGATTGAATAAAGAGTAAATTATTAACCACCTACATGATGACTTCTTTTTTGGTTGGGTCAATAGATACATATTTAATGGCCTCCTCTTCTGTTTCCATTTTTTCAATTGCATCCACAATCTTTTGAAACATAGTTCTTTTCCTGTTAAAACATACCAATAAACCTATTTAGTTCCTGCATTAAAAATGAAATAGAAAACCATATTTCTGATATTTATGCTTTTCCAAAGTAGTATCCTAGTCATAGTATCAAACCTTCTTCCTGTTGAACTCAACTTTTCAGGTAACCTAGCACATTCAGATTTTGCTATATACCACTGACATGTAAAGTATTATGTCAGAATTCCTGACAAAGAAATGAATAACCAATTTCCTAACTCTTCGTATTAAACTGTTTGGGGTGACATTCTTGTTTCTTCAGTATTACATATTTGTTACTTCCTGTAATATAATGAATTGGGAAAAGTGAAGCAAATACTAATAAATGTTCTTCCACTACCTCCCCTCAAAAATCCAAAGAAGCACTAAGCCCTGACGGACAAGAATTTTGAAAAACATAAATGTGTCTTGCTATTGCTTAATAAATCTTCTAATTTGCATTTAGACTGAATGAAATAATGGAATTACTGTTCACTAAAATTTAATAACTGTTGTTGAACAACTTACTGAATTGTTTCCTGTCTCCTGGCTTTAAATTGTCCCAGTCATAAGACATTTGGCCCAAAACAAAAGGCTCCATATATCTTTAAGGAAAATATCCATTATAAAAGCACATTAAGTCAGTAACTTAAGAACAGGATGGGATGATTTGATATTTGGAGTCTTTGGCATATTTAGCACTGGGATCAGTTGATGTCTGCAGTTTTGCTTTTAAACCAGCATCTTAATTTCTATGTCATAGAATCATAGAATCGTAGATTCATTAAGGTTGGAAAAGACCTCTAAGATCATCGAGTCCAACTGTCAACCCAACACCACCATGCCCACTAAACCATGTCCCTAAGCGCCTCATCTATACGTCTTTTAAATACTTCCAGGGATGGTGACTCAACCACTTCCCTGGGCAGCCTGTTCCAATGTTTAACCACTTTTTCAGTAAAGAAGTTTTTCCTAATGTCCAATCTAAACCTCCCTTGGCGCAACTTGAGGCCATTTCCTTTTGTCCTATTGCTAGTTACTTGGGAGAAGAGACCAATACCCACCTCACTACAACCTCCTTTCAGGTAGTTGTAGAGCGCATGCTCCTGTTTAGTATGAGTAATTGCAGTATGTATGCTGAATATCACACATGCACACAACCTTATGATTAGGCTACAGAAGCCACACTTCTGAAATACAGTGTTTGCTGTAACTAAAAGCATATTTGAATTTGAACTAAAAGCATATTTGTTCTAAGTGTTATATACATTTATGTGTTCTCTAATTTGAAAGCTTATAATGAATCTAAGAATGTCTCTTCTTTACAAGGATTAGACTTAATAATTTTAAATATAGCTCTGTACCCTGCATATAAACATCTCTGTACTCTGCGTATAAACAAATAAAAACTACAGTTATAAATGGTATAGGATTGACATTTTTTTCAGTAGGAAGTTATACAGAGTTTAGTACTTACTTGAAATACAAAGCCAAGTCAGTTGCTATTATTGCAACTTCAAATAAGTGTAGAACAGTTTCAAACTGCCGCTTATTTAGGTTCTGGAAGATGTTTAAACTCTGCAAGATGGAAAGTTTACGAATTCAGTTCTTTTTATAACACTGTGTTTGGTTTGTACTATACAGGTTGTCTCAGAATAGTATAACAAAATTGGCCAACTACAGTCCCTAAATTAAAATAATGCTACAAATGAAAAATTATTCAATTGGTAAAGATGGCCCTTATTCATGTCTAATAAATGGCTAAATAACTGTGTGAATGGTAGGTGGATCTAAGATGGTGCCCCGAGAGGCTGCACAAATAATTAAATCCACCGTGACTCAAACAGTTGCAAGTCCTGCTATTGCCATATATAAATTAAAACCAAAGAAAACCACCTGTCTTCCACATAATTAGTAAAGAAATGGCAGTTCTTAATAATTTCGTTACAGTTCACATTCCATAAACCTAATTTTCCTAAGCTTTTTAAAGCTTCACAGTAGACACCTTTTCCTCCTGTTAACCCGGGTCAGCACAGTTGCCTGCAGTGCTGTTAGGGACCTACTGTACTAAGTGCAATGGCCTTTTCTCAGGCAAAGGGAATAAGGGCATCACACTCAGCATTTTTCTAAATGTCCTTCCTTCTTTAACTGAGGGGACAATACCTGTGAGAGCACGGGGCGCAGTGATGCTGCTGTTGAGAGCCTGCAGACATCCTGACAACTGCTCCAGCAAAGAGCAGGGGTTAGTCCCCAGCCTCTTATATTTGAAAAAGTACATTGCCATCAATAAAGGTAAAGGTGGTTTCTGGTTTTTTTAAAATCGTACACCTTCTGGGTTTTTTGTGATCATTGTGCTACTGGTTAGTGTGAGGATTTATTCTGTGGCCTCACGGGGTCAGGAAATAGCACCACCACAGGGATTAGAAAATGAAAAATAGGGGTGCCTGCCACACTGCTGCAAACAAGTGGGATGGAAGGGGCACATGTGTTCAAGCCTTGCCTGTTAAATCTCTTATTTCCGTGCAAAACATGTAGTAAAGAGTTGTAAATAGTCTCTTCCCTTGTAGCCAGAACAGAGCCAGGCACCACTGAGGGAAGAATGGTGGATCCCCTCCAGAGGAGCAGGGCTCCGCGGGGCAGAGGGCCCTAGTGGGCTGCACTGCTGCCATTTTGTTGAGCCTGAGGAGACTGCGGTAGGGAGCCACACCTCCGCGGCTGCTGGGGAAGGGCAACTGAGGGCGTCTGCCTAATTCAGGGAAGATCAGTAGTGGGAGCTGCAGCAGAGCCTAATGATACTGCCTTCTCTCTTTCAGCAAGGTTAAGGTGTGTGGGGAGTCTGGCCTGGGGGTAAGGGAGCCTTCCATAAACAGCTCCCTCCACAAACAGCTCCATCCCTTTGCTCCTCAACTGCCGGAGCCAGCAGCTGAACTCAGACCTCCTGAACCAGGGGCAGCAGTTTAATTACAACATTTTGTATGTATGTATTGTATTTTCTGCTTTGGTTTCAACATCAGCTGTTTGTGAAAGTGGAAAAAACCTGAGTATGAGTGAGGCCCAGAGGAAAAGCTTTTCTATCTTGAGTGAGTCTATTTCTGGCGGAATTACTGATGTTTCTCTAAAAGTGGACAATGCATAAGAATTTGGCTTAAACTTCTGAATTTTGGCATAATTTCTTAATCTGGACCTAGAGGAATGAATGAGACATGGTGAAATTTGGAACATGATAACTTAATTGGATCTTTTGTGTTGATCAGTGTGAGCAGAAGGTTCATGCAGACGTACCTCATCTTGCAGTAGGGTTTTACTGTACTCTAGGTGATGCCTTTCTAAAATGGAAGAGCCGTGAAGTTTTGCCAGCGGAGCAGCTGACCTGTTGAAAAAGAAGCAATTCTTTATAATATTTTGGAGGCAATATTTTTGATTCAGGATTCAGGTTTTTAGGATTAAAATGCTTCCGATCTGCATGTTCAATAGTTTAATCTATATATCTTACCCATTGGTATATTGCAGAGCAAAAAAAAATACTTGCTTGCCTTCACTCTTGTGACTGAGTAATGATGGCAATTGGAGAGCACTGGGTGTTCAGTGCCCACTAAAGTCAAAGACGTGGTTAGATGCCTCAAAACTCAAAAACTGTGGGTTTTAAAATGTGCCTCTATTTTGTCTTGCACATTCAGTTTTCCTGTTTGTTTAATCTACACACCTTCTGTGTACCTTAAAAATAGCCTTTATGCATCTTTTATTATTTATTGTGTGGCATGGCTTTTGAACTCTTGTCTGTCTGCAATGACTGTGGGCCACGTCCTCTGTGATTCTAACTTACTGTAAGTAAGTTAAATCTAAAGTAACAGTATAGTGGAGTTTAATTCCTCTTATGCCCTAGGGCTCCTTCCCTCCCCCAAAATCACCCTTTTATGGACTGCGCAAGTCTTGACAGCTCAGATGTGTTCAGTCTTATCACAGAGCTCAAAGCATTCCTCTGACGTTGGGCTAAGCTTCAAGCAGAGGAAATTCTGCGTCAGACTATGGTGGTGGGGGGAAAGGAGAAGTGTCCTATCTACGTAGGCTCCAGGTGGTTCTGCATGTTTGGAAGTGTATTTTCCTCGTTTATTCCCTTGGCTAATAACTCCGTTCCTCAGATTAGCCAGGGTGGATTGCTACATGCTACCTGTATTTTCTGACTTGTGATTAGGACTGTTGCGGTAAAGCCTGATAACTTTTATAAATAGCTTTACTGTGTATGACCTCATGTAGAGGGCTTCCAGCTAGGGAAGACCACATTAGGAAGATTTAAAACCTCCCTTAAACTTATTTGGATGAGAGGCAATCCGCCGAATAAGAATCGGCATCTGTCATTCTCTCTCTTCTACGTCACCTGGAGAATCCCTGAGAATAATCAGAAAATCCCCTCGCATCATTGCTCCAGCATGCAGGTTGGAACGCCTCTCCTGGGAGGAGTGTATCCAGGGTCAGAGGAGGAGGATGAATCATTCTGGAGATACAGTTGGTGGGAAACTGTACTCAGGAAATTATGGTTATAATCTTCTGGTACACATGACATTCTGAGAAACGCGTGTTCTCTGGCTAGCACACAGAAAAAAGCCCTAACAGATCACGTAAAAGACTAAATGGTTTGCTCTTCAGGAGAAAAGCAGGTCTCACCATGATATGTAGTGTAATAAAAAGGTAAGTTTAAAACAAAATGAATTAATATTGTTTTATAACAAGCATCTACTAATTAATATTGTTTCATAACAAACAAGGGAAAAATCACAAAGAAATCCTTTAGAATATTTTCTCAGAACAAAATTCATGAATCGCATGAATTGCAAAGCTTAACTTCATGATGTGTAACTTACTGGCCTGTGGACCCAGTGGCAGAATACTAGCTCTTTAGCTTAGAATCCTGGATTATACTTTAGGAAAGGACCTACATCAATCAGTAAACTGAGTCGGGGGGGAACAACTGAGCTAGTCAAATTGGACAGTAGAAAACAGAGAAAAAGAATGCATCTTACATCCCGTCTCTAAACTGGCCTTTGTCTATGCCACATCCTGAATCCCTCTCCAGAAAAGTGCTTATGCCCTGTCTTGAAAAAAAGGAATCCAGCTAGGGATTTTAATTTACTTTTCTCATTTCTTTGTGGCCTCATGTCCATTAGGCTCTTCTACAATCCAAGTGCTGCAACAGCTTAGTCTCTCTTAAGAATTAATTGCAGCTCCGGGAGATCCTTCCAAGATTCTGCTTTTGCATTTTGTCTTTGTGTTTCAGCTGTCATGACAAATGCTCTGAGGCATAAATCTTCTGTAGGATAAATGTTCGTTCATGCCAGATGAATATGGAATATATACCTTATATTTTTGCAAGTTTTGACATGTTTTTTTAATATGCCACTAAAAATACTACATACCCATATATTTGAGCATTTGTACTTACTTCATCTGATACAAGTTATTGGTCCCTCTGTGATCAATATCATGGCAGAAAGCAGCAGCAACCATGGCAAAGGCTTCTAGATCAGTATAGTATTTCTTTATTTTGCCTGTCTGTAAAAGAAAACAGACAATTCTGAGTGTATACCTTCCTGAATTTTCCAGATGGAATTGAAAGGAAAACCAAATGATGAAGGTAAGGTTAATATTATCAACATTACCATCAGCAGAGTAAACATTGTTTGTCCCACATTGAATCCATGTCGCCAGTTATGGTAAGTGATATCTCGATAACCCTTCCTGACGGTGTACATCCATCTTGTAAGGACCTATTATGAACAAAAGTGATTAAGACTGTGCTGTTAATTGAAACAAAATGGTGGAATTCCTGTAAAATTACTGGAATATACTAAGAAATTACTGTAATATACTATGAAATTACTGAATTAATGTGCAAGTTCTATGAAAATAATTGCTTTTCATTGAATTAAACATGGAAACAGCGAATTGTTTATATGTAAATGCATGTTGATTTAATTCCTTCCATAGCTCACACAATTTCAGTGACTTTATGACAAATACGCAAATGTTTAATTAAGAATGGAAGATTGTTATCTGTACCATTAGTATTTTAGTATTGCCTACTTCTATGTTAAAGTACCTACAGTCAGCTGTTTTTCTTCTATCTTAAAATAAATATTAAAAAGTCAAAATAAATCAGACCTCAGCTGGGACTTTGAACTTTTCAACAACATTTATCTCAAAGAACAGTCGTATTCCACAAGTTATCAGGCCATGCTCTGTAACGGGAAAGTCACTGAAGCGGAATTCATACAGTTCTAAATCTTTTGGATCAGGTAATTCTTCTTTCTGTTAGGAAAAGTCAAAAACACAAGGGTTTTTCTGGCAAGAACAAAGTTGGAAAAACTTTTTTATTTTCTTTTCTGACTTCAGTAGAAACATTGCCTAAGGACAGTATGATTACTATCTCCTCAAAGGCCTCAGGTTTCAGTACAAACTAATGTGTATTAAGTTATAAAACACAATCGTGATACTGCTGGCTTTCTTCTCAAAGAGGGTAGGTAAAAGTCTTGGCCAGATGAAGTTTTTTCCTGCTCTGAATTCCAACACAATCTGTTGTGACCATCTCAACATTTCCTTAGTTCAGAAATCTCAGGCCTTGGAATTTCTCCTTCCTTGTATAAAATCCTATGATTCTCCCACTTTTATCCTGGTCTCAAGGCTGCAGTTCATCTTTTTCACAATGAAAATTATTCTTGTTAAGTGTTGTTCTTCCCTTTTGGATCTTATGAATAGTGACAAATATAGTGATCAAAATCAACCTGTCTAGAACAAAACATTTTTTACTTTTATGGTAGAATAAAGTATAACAACAGAATTTTTTTTAATAACAGAAGGCTTGCATGCATGACTACCTACTCATAGCCTTGTCTTCTCTTGGAGAGACTATAGGCAAGCAAAGATTCCTGTACATTTTTTAACCTCTGGAGTGCTGGTGGTTTGTTTCTGCTCCACAACCAACTCTCAAAATTAGTCTGTCTTATCTTGTCTCCTGTGACAGTCTCTTTTTGTCTGTGATAGCCTATATACCCTTAATAGATAAACCTGTAAGGTTGATTTGGCACATGGAAAGTGGACTGGAAAATCCTACAAGATCAGATGTAAAAATTCACAAATCTTATTTGTGTTCTTATTTTTCTGCTTGCAGTAGATTCTTGACTGCTTGGCTCTTGAATGATCTCAGTGTACATATAAAGTAAAAATTGTTACAATGCTTAAATGTACAAAGCATGTAGTATTCGTGGTTATTATGGCTTACTTCAAATCCCTTAGAGTAATTTACTTCCTAGTGCTGTAGTTGGTGATTCTGTCCTAGTCATTGCCTTTCTATTCTGAACAATCCTGACCACTGATGAAAATGAGGGATCATTCCAGAAGTAGTGGACTGTATAAGTGCGTAATATTTCTCCATGTACTAAATTTCATTAGAAGCTCTCTGGATGCCATAGGGATTTTTCTCTCTCTGAAGGGCAGGTACAGAGCTTAGGCCAGCTCTTCCTTGTACTGAAGAACCTCCATGAAACATATACTAAATTCTAAAATGCAGAAGATACAAAAGTTAAGAAGCCTGTATTAAATTTAAATTGCCTATTTTGTATACATTGTATAGATTCACATTGAATAGCCTAACTGGTAATGGTGATATTAGTGAACTGTTCTATGACACTTTTCATCTACATATCCCAAAGCCTAGGGAGAGCGGTATTAGATTTTAAAGGATGCGCCCCAATCCAAACAAGAATTAATTCAGGGAAGTCTGATGCTACACAAAAAATAGATTATATGATCGCAATGACTCCCTTGCTCCATAGTAGTCTATAAATTATCTCCATTTTACAGATAAGGAAAAGAGATGACTGAATGTATGCATATATTTCAAATAAGGCTGAACATCCATGCAAAGGTATTTCCTTCTCCGTGGGATTTTCCTTTATATCTACTCCAATCTGAGGTCAAGGACAAGGAAATCTGGAGCAGTGGTGTTTAAAAACCCATTACTTTGTGAATCATTAGAGCTAGAAACACCTGCTTTATCCCATTAGCTATCTGGGATTCCAGGTCTTATAATAGGATAAAGCATTTGCATGTAGCCTTGGCAGCGCAAAAGATATTAGACCTTTGAATTTGTGACTTCACAATGTTGAGAGAACTCATTTTAATTACTTTTTGGAGATCTAAAAACTCATACCAGTATTATGTTTTTACATTTGGAGTCTGTACCATAATAATCACTTGTTGCTCTACCAGTAGAAAGATTTTATAATGTTTATCTATTAATTTTTGCAATTCTTCATGCAGCTAAATTAAATTTACTTTAAAAGGTATATGAAGCTACACACGGTCTGTTGATGGTTTTTGGTTTCACCACTTGTAAGCTGTGTGAGCATCTGTTTTGTGGGAGCCAGTAAAACCTTAACACCATTGCATTCCAGCATGCACATGTGCATAACTAAAAATGGTTTAATGAGATCTTTTCCCTATGGCTATGTCTACATTAGCAAATGTGGTGTAATAGGAGGAAATATGCGGAGTGGTTGGTACCGGAAGTCAACAGATTTGTGTATATTTGACCTTTTTTCTTCAGCCTACCTCTGCTTTGATCCATTAACAGTGGGAATTAATCATTCAAGCGTTTTCCTGGAACACATCTCTGAGTTTTGTTTCAGATAAAGTAAGGCAGTGCACGTGCTCCAGGATTCCTCCGCAAGAAAAAACGAAGTGCACTAAGTGAGCACAAACAGGAGTTTTCCTCCAAAAAGGCACTCTCTTTCTAGATTGAAATACTAAGGCAGCCGGACTGCACGGTCTGGAAACGAAAGTGACGCATTTTTGTTTTAGTAGTAGCAGACTTTTAACTGATTAGGTCAAATCTGTTTCATCACTGTGAAGTCACTGATCATTGTCTTTGGACTTCTCTGCCTAAGGAAATGCAGGAAAATTAATCTGAAAGTAGGTTAGTTCCACTGGACACTCCTACATGTGTTCTCTTACTAAGAATGAAAGTGACCTTACATCAATGTCCCTTCCTTTATTTTCAAAATTAAATAAATGCAGTTATAGGTGTAGCACCGTCCCCATGGATATTTAAAGAAGTTAAACTCTTTAAATGTTAATTCATATAAATGTTTCTATATAACTCTGACTATCCAAGTCTGTTGACATATATTTGGGACACAATGTTTCCCTTTAGGTAACAGTGGGGTCTGCATGTAGAAGAACTGAAGAGGTTGAAGATGTATTGTTAAATCAAGTCCATCTAGGTTGTGGAACTGATAGCTAAAATCAATTGTATTAATCAGGATTTGGCTATACGCAACTTCTTCTATAATGAGGACACATTACTATCTGATATAAACACACTACCAGAACTTTCAGTTTAGTGACTTACCAAAATCCTGATAAGATCCTTTTGATCACATTCTTCTAGATTATTTACATTTAGTTTCTCCTTGTATTTCTAAAAATGAAAATGAGTAAGAAATTCAGGTTTTGTGTAGCAAATTTCCTACTTTAATTTTGTGACTGTGGACAGAAACTTACCAGTATAGATTCAACTTCAGAAGGGGTGGCCTTTGTCTGGTACATAAGCATTTCCTGAGCAATGTCCTTCCTGTTTTCAAGCTTGTTCATTTTGTCATAAGTGTCAGTATTTAAAACAGACCACCCCAGGAACTGCGTGAGAGTCTGGAACAAAGCCAAGCAAAGTGGAGATGACACTGTGACAATAAAATTAAACCAACAACTTGAACTTTTCTTAAACTCCAGTTTCTGGTAGTGCCCTTTGAAAAGCAATGTATAACTCTATTTGTTAGAGGCCTTTACCTTCCATCAACAGGTTCTGTTAGCACCTCACACTTTTAATCACGTGTTTGTCTCAACCTAGTAATTAAGGGCCCATATTCCCATTTTATATACAGGACTTTGAGGCTTATGAAGCTTAAGTTAGCTGAGTGGACTTAGATACACTGTGTAGCATCTTATCTTGCCCAATTGCATGTGATCATGAATGCTCTGGGAACTCCCATGATCCACAATATCCATTGGCAAGCAGCACGCCATACGTGCTTACTCACTGCTAATTAGGAGATGCTGACCATCACTAAAAAGTCAAATGATTAAAAATAAAATTATATCTGATGTTTGTTCATTATTGGAATTTAAACGATCTCTCATAAATTTTCAGGTTTATAAAGCGAAATAAAATTTCTGATTCTTAAGAAACTGTATAGCGAAGAAGATAGATATTTGGCTAGATGTTAATATAGCCTATTTGAAGATTTTTAGACATTTTAAAATGACTTTTTACAATAATATTTTTATTAACATCATATGGCTCCTTAAAGCCTCTAATCCTATTAAGCTTACCTCAATGATCTGTTCATCATATTCGTCAAAAGGTTTTCCATCTTTCCTATTGTAAAATGTTGCAACTCCCACAATTTCTTCTTTTTTGTTGACAATAGGCAATGACAGGACATTTTTGATAACCCATCCGGTCTCATCCACTGGTCCTTTCTGTAGGAAAGCCAAAGATCAGGAAATGTGTATTTCTTTGAAAGTAGTAATACAGTTATTGATGTAGACAATGTAACACTAAGACCTGTGCATCACAAACAAAGGAGAAAATATTTATGTAATCAACTGTATAACTAATTGGTGGAAAGCATTAGCATATTTTTCTACAGTATCTATAACTATTAACAATTACCTGAAATGTGAAATATTCATCTGCTGGTGCATTCATCATGTTACAAATCTGCAGCATAAAGAAAAGGAGACATTGTTTAAATTGAATACAATGTGCACCAAGACTTGGCCTGATATTTTAAAAAGGCGTATTTATTTTCTAAGCTAACAACAGTGAGCACCCTAGGTAGCTACAGAAATTAAACCTGTTCCTATTAAATTAGATGTGGTTATTTTAACAGACGTCATTCTGGAGTGCTTGTAGCAAAGTCCCTCATGTATGATGTCTTACAGTGCATAAGCATAATGGTTAAGAAAATAATTTCCAGTTTAAAATGGCACAGGAGTTTATAGAAAGAAATAACTGAGTACTAAGGGCTCTGTCCTTACTGCTATTAAAAATGCCATAGGATTACTAATAACTGTCAAACATCACAACTTTGAATTACGTATATTGTCTATGTAAGAAGAGATAAGAAAAAAAGAAAATTTTAAAACTGTGTATATAATGATTTTCTTACTTTGACATTTTGTTGTGAGACTTAGTTAGCACACCTGGAAAGTGACATCAGACATTATTTGTCCAATGTCACCACAATCAGAGGGAAATTTTCCTGATGTTTTGGCCGTTTGTGCTGAGGGCTTGTCTCCATCCAAACTACTCATTCACATGATTTCACTGGGAACCAGTGACACTGGAAGTAGCACAGTATTTTTGTAGAGGTTTTTGGTCATGGGGACGTTTGGGGTTTTTTTGTTCAATCAGAAGAACTGCATGAACTAAAACTTTTAGGTTTTACTTTTGCTATGAACTTACAAATCCATTTTCAGCAACATATGTTGGCAATCCACTGACGAGACACCAGTGATCTGCTGGAGGTGACCTTTAGAGAGAGAATGAAATTAAATGATTTCTACAATACAGACATGTTATTATTCTATCCCAGCAATATATCTAATTACCATGCATTCACAGGCTGCCAATGAATACTCACGGAATGACTTTGATTTCTTCTTTTCCATGTAAAATATAGTCAATAATCTTATAAAAGTTGACTTCCTAAATAAAAAGAGAAAAACATGTAGGTGACCCGTACAACCTCAACGTCAAAGTTAAGAATCATAAAAAGAAAAATTAATATCCTCACTCGTCCATCAGGTGTCTTGGGGCCTTTGTAAGGCTCTGCCTCCCCCAGCCGGATTGGCCATTCATCATAGAACTCCTGAGAAAATGATACACAGGGTTTAGCAAAAGGAAAAAAAAATCAGTTCTGTGTTCATAGATACATGACATCTGTGGATAGCAATTTTATTTTTCCTTCTCCATAGCTGTACTACGGTCACATTTCAGACAATGTTAAGAAAACATTGTTAAATATATTCCAGGCAAGAAATGTTTGCCAGTAAATTGCAGGCTAATCTGAAGCTTATCTCTGGATGGTTGTACAGCTTAATTGTCGTTTTAGAAGGCTGGTATTTATAAAGCAATAATCAGACCTGCACTTCTCTCTTCTACCCTTTCTCACATGGAATTATTAATATGAAAAATTATTTCAGAATTAGCCTTTATGTTTATCGTGGTTGTATCCTTTGCCATATTTTGCATCAAATTTTTGTAACATGGTTAGATTTTATTCAAATTATCTCAAAAGGTTAGAAAGCATGGTAACTTTGTGTCTTGGAGAGACATGCACTAGAACTATGCAGAACAAATTAATTAGTAGGATGGATTTTATAACTTAAAGTTAGGAGTAGCACATTTCTAGCAAGTAGGCAAAATGATTGTTACCTTCTCTTTAGTCATGTCCAGCAGACCAACAGAGTATCTTTCGCAATTCAAATACATTCGTATAGTATACAGTGCTTTGTGAAACTGCCGTTCTATATCTGTTAGCTCTTCAAATACTTTGTTGGCAGACCACAAAAGCATCTATTTACAACAAAAGAGAAAGAGGGTAAATGTTCACAACAGTAAGAAAACATAAACATATGGATCCTAAGCATTCCAGAATAAAATGATAAGGTGCATTACTGTTATCAAATTAAAAAACTAAATAGATGCTATCCTTACTTCAGTAAGCTTGCAAGAATATAAAATAGTGGGAATAATAATGGTTTCACACAAAAACAAAGTATTATCATTAACAAATTCTTCTATACCTGACTTCTTCGGGATTCAATATTGTAGAGATATGTCATATGATGTTTTCTTAGGACCAAAGATATAAAATTGAGGTATTTTTTGAAGACCTAAAAATGACAAAGAGCAAAACTAAGACAAAAGTATCAAATCAAGAGGTAGATTCACTCGAACTACTTGAACTAACAACTGTACTGTTGTGTGACATTTGAGGTTATTACCTCTTCATCCTCTTTTGAGAACTCAGTGGCATTTAATTTGTTGAGTGCCATCACAACAGCAAGCACCTCTTTACCCTGCATAATTGGGGTTGCCAGCATATTAATTGTTGTATAACCAGTTTGTTTGTCCAGAAAGTCAGAAAAATGGTTGTTCTGAAAGAAAAGAAAAAAAAAACCACAAATGAAACACATAACAACTAGTTACCACGCCAAGAGCAACTGATCATTTCATTTGGTAAGTTATGTTTGCAGTGCTATGTGCACAGTTTCACAATGCAGTTGTTTTATACTCGCAAGAAACCATTATCATTTTTTAACCCAATCTTGCAGAGTTATATGTACAAACTTAACTTAGGCATTGGTTATGAATATAGTCTCTGAAACCAAGTTCTGTGCAGGTTTTTATTAGAATGATGAAGAATTTGAGGAATTAAAAATATGGGAAAATCTAGAATAAAGGAGAGAGTAATATGACTTTGTGGCTACCTGAGAGTCTAATACATATGGCTTGCATGTAAGAGAATTACTTCATAGCTATGTTAATATTTATTATTATTTAATTATTTCTGTAGATAAAATTCATGATACTGTCCCATTACAAAATGTTTAAAACTACCATCTGTCCTGAATGTATATGGCTAAAAATGCTTCTGGCAGAGAGGCATCCCCAGCAGGTAGGCATCTGGCTGAGCCGTTTCTTACTCCTTCCTGTCTGACAGACTCCCATTCCTAACTCCCAGCCCAACGTGCTCTTCTGGTGAATGGGGGGGCATAGGACCGGGGGCATCAGAACACAGATCTGCTTGTGTTGGGTGTGTGATCCTGTGGGAATGAGACCACATGACTAAGGAATGAGCCACAACTAACTACCCCACCAATGTCATCCTTGAAACCGAGTGCTTTTACCTTTTCAGTAAAAGGTATTCTTTTCATTCTTTTATGTAAAAAATACTGGGAAGCTAGTTCATGTTTCATGGAAAACTGTTTCATTTCCTCCTATCAAAGAAATTCTTGGTGTTTTCTTTGAAATGCTTTAATGTTCTCTTTAATTTAAAAAAGGGATTTGAAGTTTGTCAGGGAAATCTGTTTGTCAAGGGTTGTTGTGTTTTGTGATGTTCTTACGATAATACATCTAAATGAGCTGGGTTATGAGCTGAGGGATTGAAATCTGTCAATATGTGCATGCTGAGAAGTGACATGGTTCTATTCAGCAGCTAAAATATCCAGACTCTGTCTTCACTGAGCCTTTTCCATCCCCTCGCATCTGCCACTTCTAACAAGTCAATGCTCAGACTTCTTCAGACACATGAGCACTCAAGTCCTGGTCTACAGTCAATGGCAGATTCTCCCCAAATTTCCTTTAATAGGAATGCTTCTGATTTCCCAAGATGATGAGCAGTTGGTGCTAAATGAGAATATCAAGAGGTGGCAAGCGGCCTGGTAACCAGGGAAGGTCAGACTACATTATAACACCATGGATAGGAATGGCAGCTGGCCAGAAGGAGGCCAAAGAAATCCTGTTTTAAGGACATCCACCTGGAACCAAGATTCCCAAACCTTGCCAATCCCCTGCTGTTAGCAAGTATTTGTGAACCCACTCATAAAGTGACTGACTTGTTAGTGCATGTCTACCCACAGAGCTGATACATATTACTGGTGGATCTCAAGGTCTCTTCCTTGCTGATGGGCTGGAGAATGTTGCAGGATGCCACGTAATGGAATTTCTACTTTCATAAATTATACACAAAGCTACTTAAACAAGCAAACAAACAAACAAACATTTTCTGGGTTATAAAATCAAGCATGAAAAGGCTAGGAAGTGCCAGAACTAAAATTGTTTGTCTACTATTTGGATCTTTCCTCTGAAGTTCTTTTTTCCCCTCTTCCTTCTTTAGCAATTGTTTCTGGTATATGTTGAATTTATAGCATCTACAACACTGAGAAGGTAGACTGGATTTTATTATGTGTTCAAAATATTAGTGGGTTTTTTTCCTTCAGTTCTTCATAGTCTTTAGACAGCCCATCTTTTACATTTGCATTTTAGATTTCCTTCTAGAACTGCATTTATGTGAAAGGAATTAAATGTGTGGAAGTAACTCTGAAATGTCTTTTCTATGTTTACTGACTGGGGTCTCTTACAGAGAATTGGTTCTCTTAAGGACAGCCTGTGTCATCCCCATAAATCCCATTGGGAAGAACAAAAGTAACCAATATGTTTTCTCTGTAGTTCAATGTATCAGACTGTATTTGGGTCCCTGCAAAGTGTAGCCAGTTCCAAATATATCATCCAGGTGAAGAGGGGATGTTTTCTCTATTTCTGTCAAACTTTCCCTGGGTTGTTGTTTTCTGTTTTTCTCAGAGAAAGGTATAGGGGTATCTCACTTAACAGACATCCAGGGAAAATGCCAGTCAATCTGTCTCTTCTATGTAAGAATCAAATACTGTCCTGCAGTCTGCTAAACAAGTATGTTATTGCATGGAAATATTTTCTTTTCTCTGAGATGTATTACCCACTGACACAACCATTCTGGTTTTGGGTGTGTGTTTGGGCTTCAGTAACAATTTCTGAATCTCTGACTGTTTTAGCCATTCAAAATAAAGTAAATCAGAAAATTTGACCCTGTTTTGTAGTCCCTCCGCCTCACCAAGAGCATCTAGCATAATGGCGAGACCCAAGTTCCTGCTTTTAGAGTGCTGTATGCTGCTATGAGGGAATACATAAAAATTTCAGACACTCCTGGATTTCTGAATACTTAAAAGGGACCTGTATACACCAAGTGAGCTGAATCAGCAGGACACAACTGCTGAGTCTTAATTTGTTTAATAACTCCAGACTGAAGGTATAAGCAGTGGTGTTCAGAAGTGTTCAGAAGCAGCACTTTGGTCATACAATTTTTGCAGAGGATAGGAAAATTTTAAAGAATGCAAGTCTGTGTTAATAAACAAAAAGTTCAGTAACCACAAGCCATCCTGAGTTGTGCCTAGATAGTGCAATGCAGAGAGATATAGCTCATAACACATTGGCAGCATTCCCACAGCATATACAGAGACTTCTATCGCACATGTATTGCATATAGAAGCAAAAATTTGTGCTTAGATTTAGCCTTTTCATTAATGAGTATTCTGCACATAATTGCTAGGAGTTTTGAAGCCTTTATTTCCAATCAAGGTTTTAAAATATTTTCTCTTGAGAACATAAGCTCTTTTTGTTTTCAAAGAAAATCACTTTTCACAATGTCTGGAAAATTTCCATCTCATGGCTACCAGTGGAATTTACTAAATCAGAACTCACTGTTGTGAAAACAGTGTGATTACACCTCCGTGAAAGGAAAAAATAAGGCCATTCTTTCTAAAAATAATTTTTATTTTCCTCATATGGCAGTTACAAATAAACTTGCTTACTGAGACTATACCACATCTGATTCTGAATTGTAGCTACACAACTGTAAGTTCATGTCTGTAGTAAGGTAAAATAAATATAAATGAGAAAAAGTCACTCCTCTGGGAACCACAGGCATTTTGAGAAGAAAGTTAATTTTAAAAGACTGTAGGAGAAGATAATACTTTGCAATTATGTAGTTTGTTTTTTAAAAAAATAATCAGTGTTACTTTATTATTTCTGAAAAGTTCTTATTGATGGACTGCCCAGAAGGAACCATCTTTTGTCTCTCTTATTTCATGGCTCTCCATGCAGATCTTATTTCCTTTCTTGGGAGTGAAAGGTTCTTCTATGTTTTCTTTTACCAGTTTCTAAAGATCTTATTTCTTTCATGATGAATTTTCCTTCATTGTCTGGTTTCAGATATCCCACGATTCTTTAAGCAAACAATGAAAAAGAGCTCTGCAAAAATTTCTAACCTTTCACAGGCTTTATTCTATGCCAAGCTCAAAAGATGATGAAGATCATCATTCTAATGTTCATTGAACCATCCTACAGTATTTAATAAAGGAACTACATCTCCCAATTCATAATGTTATCCTAGGATTTGCTACACTGTGCTCCAGAACACCGAGCTAAGCCTTGAGATTTCTAATTGGATTAATGACAAAATGCAGCCTGAGGCAAGTGAGGTTGACACTATTGGAAACTCCAGGTCAAAGTCTGTTGAGTGTAAATTTGATCAGAAAATGCAAAAACTATTGTAAGTAATGACATAGTGTAACCCTTGTTAATTTGGTTTCCATTGCATATGCAAAAGTATGTAATTTATACAAATGCAGGAAAGACAGAGAAATGGAGAAGCGTGAAAAGCAACTCAAAACGAAAGGGAACAAGGAACAAGGATCCCTCTTCCCTGTTCAGCTAATTAGGGTGAAGATTCACTGCTCTGGTTGATTGGAGGTAATAGGAACAGCAGCTCAAAGTTGTTAGTACCGAGGCTTCCCACATCTCCAGAATACTTGCTTATTCCCAAATGCTTTTAATTTGGCACACCATCAGCATCTTCATTACACATGTGGTTTGAAATGTTAGGAAACTTTCCCATATGTTAGGAGACTTTCCCATAAACCTTTGCTTCCTTGACTGGGGGTTGCTAGGAAGCAGCATGATGTCATTTTGTTCATGTCCCACAGATGACATTTACACCTTGGTTTTCATATCACCATCACCATTACTCCCATTCAAAAAACTCTTACTGTTCCTTCCTTCTTCTTTCGACTCCAAGTGATGTGTCAGTATCTGCTGTGCAGCCTACCTCTCCATTTTGAGTTTGGTGAAGTGCATCAAATATCACACTTGAGGAGAAGTGGTAAGACTTAATCCTGCAGCTGAGGTGGTAGTACGGAGAGAGCAGATGCCTATTTTCCTCCACCTGTTTCCTCTTATAAAGCACAGAGGAAGAATGGGACCCCTGGCAGTTATGGCTACTTTGCTCATGTTGGGCTGGAGGTTCTGGGTTGGATAGATGAGCTCAGACTGGTTGAAATACATCATCCTTTGAATGTGTGATGACCAGGAGTGGGTCTGGAGCACTACTGGAACAGGAACCACAGGAACCTCTGACACCAGGAGCTAGTGTCACACTCTCATCATTATCACACATTTATTTCCACCATCTTTACATGTTTCTGTTTTTCTTTCTGGTAGCTCTGCAGTATTTTCTCCTCTTCCTGGTATTTTGTTCTCCCACTGATCGTCTTGCATTGGCTCA